CCCAAGGTGGCTTGCTTAGAGCTTGCTGATTGCTTAAAGTTTAAATTTTGTCGGCCAGCAGTAACACAAGTTGTTTTAGGGCTACGTAAGGGAAGTGATGACTCGTGCTGAACTAATCCTGGATCGTAAAGAGTCGAGCGAAGACGAAGTACGAGCTTCACTGAACGATATGGCGGACTGTGAAGTGGTCCTGCGTGATTGGAACAGCAAACGCCTGTCAGCCTTGAGGGAGCGCTGGGAAGCAAAGCGGCGCGAGTTCGAACTATGGCAGACTCAAATGGATCGTGTGCAACAGATTGCTGCAACACTGGAACGCAGTCAGGGCCTCGATCCGTCAATACTCGTTGAGCTGCACCGAATGGAAGAAAGCTGCGATCAGAATGTTAATGACAGATTTAGCCCATTCTCTTCGTCTAGCGATACGGCGACTTCGTGTCTTGCTGGAAACTTCTTATGAAGAACGCCTGGAAAGTTTGAAAATGTCCGGCGAGGAAGACTGCACCGTCGCACATAACATCGTTCAGGTCTGTATCTACGACGTCCTCTTCCCAGCCACACACACTCTATCTCTCTCTTGTGTCGTTTTCTTTACACTGGCGCCGTTTTGCGCACGCCTCCTCAGCCAACCGGCTCTCGCTGATAAAAGTACTCTCGCTATTTCGCGTTCTGCATTGTCTTTGCCAAGTAGACACATGGTACTACTAATCCAATACTGATACAAATTATTAATCACTTTCGAAATCGAAATTGCACGGTGCGCTCTCGTGAGCTCTCCGATGGCAGCACTTTCGTTGAATTCACGCGTTGAGTCAGCGTTGAGAAATGAAAGGGAGGGCGGCGTGCTTCTGTCTCTCTTCGTAGTCATCCTTCGATTTGATTCCGCCTGCAAAACGAAATCGATTTGAACTATTCAGCGCCCCACCGTTTTTTTCTGATGACATTCATGAGAATGCATTCCTTCTAGTCGTCGAGCGTCGGCTCGCTTTTGCGCTCTTACCTCCCAACTACCATTTTGTATTGATTTTCGCTTCCATCTGAACAAGTGGATTTAGGGCTTTAGGGCTTCTAAATAACACACAGAACTTTAATTAGGGATTTCCGGTTCTAGAGTTGTCTTCTTCGTCTAGAAAACTAAAGTCTAATTGAAAGCTTATTCTCGGAGCGAGGGCTTTCTAGGTCTTTTTTTTTCGGTGGCGCTTTTATCGCTGCAAACACCGTATGCTAATGTTGACGTATTGGATGTACGTGCATTTCCCCGATATCATAATTGTGTACACATGTTTGAAAAAAAGTTTACAGCAATGATGCGTTCGCCGTCTCGTCGGCTAATGGACAATATAGAAACAGCTCTCCGCGTTTCTGCATAACTTATCCTAATATCGGGATTAATTTCCTGAAGCGTTCCGCTGCTCCTCTAGAAAAATCTTAATGCGCTTTCGAAAATTCGTACAACCATTCCGTCATCGTTTATTTGATGCAGTTTTCTTTGTTCACGACCGTTCCATACTGTTCCTGGCGCTATTGTGGACACCACGTAGTTGCAGAAAAACTTGCACATAGACTGACTCGGTGAATCCGGGTTTTCCGAATCCGAATTAATGCAATATTGGCCCAACTTTTTATTCTGGTGAGCATATAAACCTTTGCGGCGTTCATTTCGGCGCATCGATCGCGATATGCTAGTTTCACCCCAGTACAATTCTCATCTTCAACAGCAGCGTGCCATACGATTCTAGTGTGGTGTCCATGTGGTGTTTTGGAACTTTTTCCACATATATTATTACAATAATCCTTCATCATTTATTGGTTCCAGGAGGTTGGCGAGGAGTTGGTAGCGTTCTGTCCGCAGTTAAACGAGCGACATATTGAGGCTCGGCAAGTTCTATCCCGTAAAATGGAGCTGTTCCGACGCCTACAAAATTATTACGACGCTGTCAAATATCTGCGAAATCAAAACATTTCATGGAATACTATTACAGTGGCACAGGTACGTAATTTGATCACCAGCTTCATACCTATAATTTCGTATAATTATAATTTTCTGAGAATCACTTTTTTTACACTGTTCGTATTTGTCCATAAAGTGAACTACTGGAACATTGGTTGTTTAAGACCGTAGCGGGTGTTTAAAGATTGCATGCAAGGTCGTTCGCAGCCTATACGATGCCGTGTTGCAATTTATTCCTCGCCACTTCACGCTACACGCTAATCAATGACCAAAATCGCATCGGTACACGCGGGCGGGTTCTTCCTGGGTAGGCCCTGTTCCTGCATTTTTGGACTTGGGTAGATATCTGAAGTCATACAGGGAGTCAAGTTGAAAAACTCTGTGGGGGCGTAGTGTCAGCGAGGGGATCGGTCGGTCGAATATTTACCCTCTCCAGATACATCCAATTTGTTTATCTTGACTAGCGGAATGATTCAGTAACGAAACAATGAAATCGAATTTTCAATCGATGATATCGTTTGGATAATAGGGATATCGGAAAAAGCGCAGCGGTTACTGTGGAAGTGCACGGAATTCACTCGTGAGTGGATATCGTCCGTACATAATTCTGACACAATATTTTCGATTTAATGTGAATCTCGTTTGTGGTGAAGTTGTTTTGTTCAGTGGAATGTGCGAGTCGGCAGTCACGTCTATTCAATTGTCTCATCCTTTTTAATATCGTAGCGCGTTCCCGTTTGCAGCGCAATCGCAATGGTTTTTTCCATTGTTAGTGTAGGTGTGTGTCATCGCATTACAAAGGACTTAAAGGTAGTGGAATTTGCGAATGCATTCGAGGCACGCAAGTGACTGCATTGTGACTGTATGGAAGTCCGGTGGTAGTCTTGGCAATGATGCGCGTTATACGTCCGCAATTGTTGACATGTCCGAAGGTGACAGTTCGCGGTGCTATATCTAAACGTTGGTTCTAATCAGGGCAACTCGTTTTTATAATGACCAGAGATTGCAGGTTAAAATAACTGAGTGGTAAAAAGTGAATCGGTTGGGTTTTCGCCAGTCTTGCATCAAATTGATTCCTCAGCTGTTCAACTGCTACAGGTTTAGCGTAGCACTCGGACCACATCAGGACAGGAAATTCAACCTTGGTAGATAAAAAACTCCACTAGCAAAGGCTCAGCTATCGAGTTTCTTTGAAAAGTTATTAAAAACCGCAAATATGTACGCCTGTTAGTTCATTGCCTGGGAAATGGTTCCTGAACCGGTTCCAATTCAACCCGTTTTTGATCCACAGAAAACTGGTGCCGTAATTGCTGAAATTCGGGGAGAAGAATATCCCAAGAAATTTCGAGTGAATGCAAGGGCATATTGATTTTTGCCCCCATTTAGCAGAAGAGTGCATTTTTCTTGTACGAGAATAAGAATATTCTGGAATCTCCAATTAATAGATTTTCTGTAATGCATTTCTGAATATATGCAAGCAATATCTTTCTCATAGAACACCGTACTATTCCCCTTTGAACAAAAAGTATTCTTACAATGGAGAACTTTCAGGAAGTGGAGCGCTTTTCCGTAATGGTTTCCTAAATGTTGTAGAGGCTCATGCGTGGGACGTAGAGTCATGGAACATTTTCCCTGAACGCTTCTAGGAAATGTCAAAATCTGGTGAAGAAATGATCCAGAGCTCGATCCTCCGTGGTGAACAATTTTTCCGATCTAGACTGGCTTCCTTCAGATTGCCGCCAGATGACGCCAGACGAAAATATGTGTCACGCTCGTAATTTTGCGGCAATTTGGAGTTACAAATTTCAAAAATATGTTGAAGATCGAACTTTGGACCATTTCTTCACCACTAAAAGCGTTCAGGAAAAATGGAACATGGTTTTGTGTTCCTCGCATGAGCCTCTACAAGATGCAGAAACCATTTCGAAAAAGCGCTCCATGTCCTGAAAGACCTCCCTTGTTAGTCTGAAAGTTCAATATTCACTACTGCTGCTTTATTGCTACCATCTTTCCAAGAGGAAGACAATATGGAGTGAATTCATAAGTTTAGGTGCCGTCTGTTTCGACAGAACTTCGGACATTGCTGGAACGATGCGACACCGAATGGCAAAACGATGCGTCTCAGCTACGAGAGGAACTCAACGGTATAAGCGGAAGTTTCTTCGAGCTCGAGTTCGACCGCGTCAACGAAAAGTATGATTCTTAAATTTGACAGTTGTTCCCTTGTGCTGAGGTTGACCAACAGAATGTGATAATTAAACTGTTTAGGCTGAATTTGTTAACTTACGAAAAAGACAAACTGCGTGATTTGATGCGCATCCGACTCGAATATCTGGATGCAGTGCGTGATTTTATCGCATCTGCCGACTCCTCAATCGATATCAATCAGATGGCCACTCCTAGCGATTCTCCACATGTTCTCCAAGATCGGGTTCATTTTAGTGTAAACTCTTTGGTGAATCGGAAGACAGGAAGCATCTAGTGAATAAACTCGGAATATTGCAGATTAAGCAACTGTGCAGCGACCTGGAAGAAAAAGCTAAGCATGTAAAGCAATTACAAGATCCTGCTGAAATGATCATTTTGGATTTGACGATAGCCCAACTGATCAAAAAGTTCCGATGGCAATTGATGGGACCTGTAAGCTCACTTATCGGTCATTTTAAGTTCTCGTCTAATTTTTCTAATTTTTAGGAAGATGACAACACCTTCAGCGATACTGCGCATCGCTTCGAAAGCTTGATCAGCAGGACTATGCCCTCTTCCGACGATCCTCAACAATTCCTTACCATCACCTTGGAACTAATGCGATCAGAAGAATCTGAAAGTAAAGCGTTTGATGAAATGAACGAGCTCGCTATTTCGGAGAACGATAGATCGGAGCGGGATCGCTTGGCTGCTTCTTTCAAAAATCGTCAAGAACAACGAAAACGTTTGATTCTGAATTATTTATACTCGTACCATGATTACCTGAATTCCTTGTTCCGAAGCTATGAGGATAAGGTCGTACAGCTCATAAATAATCGAGAATTCAGCGAGCTGCATAAGTTTAATGATGGCGAATGGAAACAGTGGAAAGAGTCCGTTGGGGAGTTGGAGAGCGCCCTTGATGCTTCGATGCGCTTACGACTACGACCTGAATTCGCTGATCCTACAGAGAAAAGCATTCTCGTTGGACAGCAAAATTTCCAGATCAATTGCAAGTTCGGCAAAACAAAAACGCCACGAAGAAAAACTCGCGATGAAGTTGTCACAGTTTGAGACGTGGCTGAATGCAATGGAAGACGATGTGAACTCGGTGGAGAACATGCCGCCGAGTGAAGATCAGTTATCTCGCCTCTCTCAACTACTATCCAGTTGTCTCAGTCACCAAAGACTGGTTAGTAAACTGGAACGACTCAATGTGCAGAATCGAGACCATGTGCTGCAACTTTGTCAGAAATACTACAACATACTGAGCAGGTTAAGACGCCATAATCTGGAAGAGGGCACACTTCCACTTCATGTCGGCACTCTCGTCCATGGAGCTCAAACTGAGTCACAGGTGAGGAGTTTTGTAAACTAAGACCCAGGTTTGATTGAATGATCGCGGTTTTCAGTTGTCGATCAGTTCCTTGGCTTCATCTGATTTCGCGGATCGCCCAGAATCTGTGCAGTCAGTAAGCTCAAGTATTGATATTGGCTCAGTTGGTGCTGACAGTGAACTTCCCGTTGAAAGAGCAATTGGAGATATCAGAAGAAAGCTTCACAACATTATTAATTCGTATAACGATGGTCCAAAACCTTTGACCACAGCTATTGCCGATTACAATCTTCTTTTGGTTCGTTGATTTTTATTTTACATATCTCGACGCTCATGTCCTTAGGGGGGACATTGAGTGAGTGGGCCACTCATAGAACTCGGGACTAAGCCTTAGGGAGGGGAAAGGATTCTGGGAGAGGATGTGAGCAACCATTGTTCTCCCTGGTGTTTATTCCTATCCTGGGCTTAGTCCTGGTATCACCTAGCTGCGGTTTTTAAATGCCCCTTAGGACATGAGCGCCCCTGTCTCTTTAGTCTTTTCCCCTATTTTAATTGAGGAAATTTAGACGTATCGCGGAGAGCTCAACAAGTTGTTTGACGATCTTCCGTCTGGGAGCGATGCGAAAAATGTGGCATTGGAAAATTCTCTCCACCATTTATTGGAACATCTCAATGTGAATATTTCCCAAGCTTCTTTGTTGATCGCAGTGCGAAGTTTTGATCTTAAATTCTTTCAGGAAACTGCGAGCAAATTGCAAAGTGAGATTGACGAGGAGGTGTCAATATCAGCAAAAGAAAAGGAGATAGTCGCAGAGCTAAGTAGACTCGAGGAACGAGTAAGAAGTCGTAACGTCAGTGATCTGAATGTCATCTACGACTTGGATCAGCTGCAGACGCAGATGGATCTGTTGCGAATGATTAGCAGCAAACCTCGGCAGTTCGTCGAAAGTGATCTTATGGATCGTGGAGGACCAACTTCGAACCGAAGTCGTCAAAAACGCAAAGTGTTGATGATGGTCACCAATACCGTGACCACAATAATACAAGTCGTTGAAGAACGTCTCCTAACAATAGAAGCTCGTTCTCGGGATCCTGTCGTTCAACAGAAACTCGACCTTGTGAAGGTGATTAATTTTCTAATTTTGCTACTGTGTAGGGGAGGTTTAGAAAGTGTTTGGAAATTGTGGTATAAGTTTACGTTAAGGATTTCTTCATCGAATACAATCTGAACTCGGATTGCTATGAGTTGTTTTGAAATCTTGGATTTTACGAGTATTTGTTTCAGACGAATCTAAAGAAGTTGGAAGAAGAAGCAATAGGTCCACCTCCCGAGGAAGAAGTGAGTGATTTACTGCTTTTCCTACTACATACTACCTACGTTTTACATCTTTGTAAAATATTGATAGAAGTACAGCTTTCAAAAGCTCACTCAAATAATCGTAAGTTTTACTTCAACCCCTTGTAGGGCGGCGCTATCCGACTTTTAACCCATTCGCGACCGCGCCGCGGTTTTGCGCATTAGCAGGAGAGTCAGGAGATTTTTCTTCACAATAAAATTTGAGTGGATGGAGATTCTCCCGTGCCCAAGGGCTGACGTAGATGAATGAGGATATGAAGATTCTTTTTAGGAAAGAAAACTTTCCAAATTCCATTTGAAAGTTTTTTCCTGAAAAGATCTTCTCCTGGAAACCAACAGCCCACCGTTGGTAACCATGTACAAGCTGAGGTCTTACTGTCGCCACCGGTTGCTTGCCATTGTCATAGAACTGGGTTATAAAGTCATCCCGTATACGATGTGTTAGAAACGCTTACTTCTTTGAAATCTGGTGTAGGACACCACGAGGTGGCGCACGATTACATGCGAGAGCATCCTTTAACTTGAGTCATTCGGTATTTCGAAGTTTCTGAACTGTTTGCACTTGTTTTCAAAGGGGAAAATAATTCGAGTTATGACTGATTAAAATAATGAAAGATTAGTGATGATTTATCTTTAACAAGCTCAAAAAAATGCGGGGATACCCGTAAAATGACGGTCCGCGAAGTGTCAATGCCCATCCCTCTAAAAGCAGCCTTCTTTTAATCGAAACTTGTCATGGTTGTGGATTTTGCTAGGAAGCTGCCCCGAGATAATGTTCCGTAGAACTTTAATATTACATTCGTTAACGCGAAAATGTCTGGCGCCTGCGTCAGACATGCCGGAATACCTTGGTTTACCAAATTCACTGGAAACCTGTGCTCAGGGGTAGTTTGACCTGTAGAACACGAATATCACAACAGTTCTTTGCGAGTGAGCTTGTAGCTTAGGCCGATGTCAGACTTTGCGAATCGCGCGATTCGCTACTAGCGATTCGCGCGATTCGCTAGCGTCCGCGGTCGCGTTGCGGTACCAGCCAATTGAGTGATTCACTGGCCGCGACGCGACCGCAGACGCTAGCGAATCGCGCGATTCGCAAAGTCTGACATCGGCCTTACGCCGGGGAGCCTGCGCAAAACTAATGTGAATACGCTGGCGCTTGTGGCGCGGGAGTCAGGCGTTTTTTAGTAATGAGGAAATTTCGGTTGAAATCCGGCTCACTTTATGAGTAAAGGGTAAATA